ATTACTTTATATTGGTATTGTTGTATTATATAAATGTAAACCAATTTATGATGTAAATCTATATATTTGTGGTGGTCCATGTTATTCATTAGAATTAGGTCTTGGTTTATTTGATTGGGTTGGAAATGGTATTAGTATGGAAATGGCAACATTAATTGTTAATGTAATAGTTACTATACGTCATTTTATACAACGTTATCGAATGAAACGAACAGTTCTTACAGCAGATGGACGTCGACAATGGGTAAGAATAGTTAGAAAGTCTTGTTTTTATTTCTATTAAATAGATTTGTTCTATAATAGAATCGATCAGTAAAATTAGGTGCGCAACTTATTGCAATAGGTATGATTTATGTGATTGGTTGGGTTCCATATTCACTCATTGTATTGATCCAAATGTTTAAAGGTTCTGAAGAACTTGCTGATATTCTTTCGAGAGTTTTGGCTTATTTCCCATATTTTCAAGAATTAATACTTCCTTTTGTTGCTATTTTATACATGCCAGAAATAAAAGGAAAACTTATTGCTTTATGTGTGTTTCCATGCAGGAATCTTAAACGACGTCATCAAAATCAAGTTCAAGTCATTCATCTTCAACAAACTACAAGCCATTTTCAATCACGAATTGTCAGTCATCGTTAATTATAATCAAATATGTGTGTGTTATTTGAAATCGTTTCATGTCAAATAAAATGTTGTTACTCTTAAGAGTTTCGAAAAAATTAAAAAAAAACAATTTGTTGTGTTTATTGGTGTTGTAAAAACGTAACTTCGAATAAAATATATATTAAATAAATCCTTTTCATTTTTAAAAAGTACGGTACAGTGCGAGTGTGAGTATGAGTCTTCTCTTCATTCATGTAATCAAAGCTGAACACAATAGGAAGCCTGGTAGAGATGCAATGATCATCATTTTGATATGATTTAATAAATGAGAAATTATTTTTACAATATTTAACTTAAAGTTGAAAAAGAAATCTTGAAACAACACTCTAAAAATAATCTCTGAGATTGTCAAACTAGGATTAGTCAAGAGTGTTTCATATGTCTGAATTATTAGTCATGATTTTCTTTTATAAGATTGGAAGTAAGTGTTGATACATTGAAGAGGATTTATTAGACAATAAACATAATCCAGAAAGACGTAAAGTAGCTACTTTTAGTCAATTTTATAAATTTGAGCATTATGTATCTTAATCTCGACCACATATACTGAGTAACATGTCTAATTTTAACTCCTTTAAAAGTTTTGAATCGTAGCATTAGCATCAAGTAACAATTAATGC